TCATAATAAAGGGTACGATGGTCATTTTGGAAGTACATCACCTTTGAGTTTTTCTTGAGTAATTACCGAGCACGGATACGGTGCACAACTGGGCCGGCCCATCAGGAGGGAGGCCACTTGCCATTTGAGCGCGCGTGAGGTAAAAATACTAGAAAATTTAAGAAAACTAGCACAAGGGGTCGAACTCATAACCTCGTCCTCCAGAATTAAAGGAGACATGGGGAGGATAATTACAGAATTTGAAGGCCTATTTTGTGCATAATTACAGAGTTTTTATTACCCTTTATACGGTTTGTAGGGGGGATCTACCGAAGCGGATTTTTGGTTATGTTCCAAGATCCTAGCTGCATAGCAAAGCACATTAGTGGATATATGAATCATTTTTTTCTACTGGTTCTTGTCCAATTACTTTAATGAAAGGAAATGGTATGGACTTTTCACTATCAATCTTGGAGTAAGACGCCTGCAGGTGAGGAGTAGTTGATGAAAGCTATTGGTTACCACACCTCTTATTAGTGCCAAGTTGTAGTATCTGAATTGCTCCAGTGTTTTTTCATAGTCTTTCTTAGCTTTTTTTATTTCCCATGGAATGGCTGACCTATATAGTGTTGTAATGCCCATAACTACAAACTGTGGGGCAAACATGTTGGCATCTTCCAGTATTTCCCTTCATATTGGAAAGACTAAAAATGCTGAAGAACTGCCTGGCAAGCATACTGGCAGCATACTTCCGGTGAGACTTCAGTTTCCATCATCAAAGTGCTCCTAAGATTAGTTAAGTAGGTTTTCTTTTATTAAAGGACTCATAAAGCTTATTTGGAATTGGATGATGTTACTTTATGGAACAACGTGTGATATGCTAATTAATAAACAGTTACATAAGTTCATTCAGGAGTTCACCATCAATTTGCTATGGTTGTCATAAGTCATGGACTATTAATGATACAAGCTAGATATCATCACGTTTTCTTGGTGAGCATCTTCGGAGTTCATCTTCATCACCAATGGGTAGATGGCTCTGCTGCCATACTCCTTTTTGGCTTGGTTGGAGTGGAAGCTTCGGGCTTCTGGCCTTGGTTGGTTGAGCTCGCCGAACCACTTCTGGGCTTGCACTAATTATTTCTTTACTCACGCCTGCCTTCCTAGCACCATCGAGCTCGTCGTTTGCAGTGCACGGGTGCGTCGGCTCCACTGGTTAGTACTTCCTCCATTCCTAAATATAGATCTTTCTAGAGATTTCAACAAATAACTACATACGAAGTAAAATGAGTGAATCTACACTTTAAAATATGTCTATATACATTCATATGTGGTAGTCCATTTGAAATCTTTACAAAGACTTATATTTTGGAACGGAGGGAGTACATAGCTAGCTAGCCTCCATGTGAATAAATCCAGCAGTTGTTGTACGCTTGTACGTGCGCGTGTATTCCCACACAAACGACGACGGGTTTCGGCGTGTTTGATCGACAAGGAGTCGTCAGCCATCATCTAGTAGATGGCGGTGCGAAAGCCCATCATTGTTGGCGAGTAAGCAAACATCAGCACCGTGCTCCCTCCACTGACATCTCGACCAGCTCGCTGCCCAGCGCCGCGTGCAACGCGGCCATGATAGCGCTCGGGCTCGCCAAGCACCATCTCTCCCCGCTGATCGACGTGGTGGTGAGGAGGCTGGGAGCCCATGACGACATCGGCGAGCGCGGGATGCAGGTGCGAGTTATGCAGGGTTGAGGACGACTTCCCAACGCTGGTTGTCAATGCCGCACGCGCTACCTTTTGCAACTCGCGCGTATGATGCGGGAGGGGGAAGCAGACGATGGTGGTGGGAGGAAGCAGGCGATGAAGTCTTCTTATAGGATCGTACATTGGTCGAGTTTTTCAAAGAGTACCAATAAGATCGAGGATCAAACTGTGGTGGAGTTTTCCGGAGAGTACCTAGAAAATTGAGGAGGATCGAATTGAACCGACTTAAACCAAAAAAAATTCTGAAAACAATGACACGTCGCAACCTATCGAGGACGCTTTATGTAACCTGCTCACAAATCCAAAAATATCTACCGCATATTCTACGCAGACAAAGAAAAAATGTACAACCTCATATATAAATCCCAATGGAACATGTTGTTGCATGCTATCTCAAAAAAAAAACAGCAAAAGCAATCAATGCATCACATGGTCAGGCGCACAACCAAACAAAAATAGAGAAAAGAAATGCCACACATCCATGCAAAATAGCTAGATCCACCCCGAAGTACACCCGGCCAAATGCCCTATTAATTATCCACCCCATTGGCCAGATTAACCTTGCAAGAAAAACTAGTCACAGTGCCACAAAAATGAAACGGAGTCGGAAATAGGATATGTAGTATATAAATCAACATATTGACCTCTTAGACTAGTCACAGTGGGCAGTAACTTAGAGTAGTAATATGCATATGTTACTAGTCCATGTTACTACCTTCATAGTGGGTAGTAACATGTGTGTCGTGTCATGCATCATTTCATTTATTAGGTTGTAGACTCATCTTTTCTTGATATGTGTGATGTTACAGTAACTATTAATTACATGCCACATCATCTATTTTACCTATGTTACTCCCATTGTGGGTAGTCTTACGCTAGTCATAGTGGGAGTAACATAAGTAGTAACATAGATGCCACATAAGCAAAAAAGATGACGTGTCATGTAATTAAAGAGGACAGAGACAAATAGAGTAACATAATATGTTACCATCACATAGTGGTTTCCAATACAAAATGAGTCTACAAAAGAATAAATAAAGATATGCATGTTATTACACCTATGACACTTCCCACTATGAAGGTGGTAACATGGACTAGTAACATATGTATGTTACTAGTATAAGTTACTCCCCACTATGACTAGCCTTATTAATAACGCGGCATGCTACCTGTTTTACTCCCTCCGTCTCGGTTTACAAGTCCTACGCGTATACCTAGGTTGCCAATTTTATCACCCTAATATAAACTATATAACACAAAAATTATACCTTTTGAAAATAGAACATCTGAAATTTATATTGATATATTTTTTGTAATATATGACTTGTATTAGGTTGGTCAAATTGACGACCTAGGGTACGCGCACGCCCTGTAAATTGAGAGAGATGGAGTATTCTTCCTTTCATAACTATATATACAGCTGGACTTTATCATGTGTCACTTTATGCATTGTAATTAAGCAGCCACTCATTGCGTCAAGTGAGCCTGCCTTAGTCTAGGGAGATAGAGAAGTACTGATCAAGGAGGTGGCTCGTTTGCAAGTTCAAGCTGGCCATGAGCTCGCCGCTCTTAGTCGCTCACAGCAACACACTGTGTGTTGGCTGGGATCTTACCCAGATAGTGTGTCTCCAGTATACTAAAGGCAAATTGTGATTAGGTGAGTCATAATATTTATTTTCACATTTTTTTTATGTTTTAGCCCATGGCTACTTGGTTAAAGAGCGTTATGATTTTTGTTCTCCTGTTGTAACGCACGGACATTTGTGCTAGTATAGTTAAAAGAAGAAAATGAAATACCGTAAGAGTGCAGCAGGGATTGGATCTGGGCAGAACTCAAAAGAATTCCAATACGAAATCTGGTCGAAGTAGTTGGAGGACACACGAACACTTCAAAACTTATTTCATGTCCTCGGGCATCAAAAGATAGAAAACACATTGCTTCCTGGATAAATATCCGAGATTTGCACAAACAGCTTTTCCGTGGTGGAGGATGGGAGGAGGAGGAAGGTATCTGGCAGCAATGGCGGAATAATGTTTCTGCACAAGGTAGTGGATGGGTGAAGAGGAATCACTCTTGTGTTGCTGGACCCACACGAGCGGCGTACCCCTGTTCCTCTATCTTTGCTGATGAACGCTTCCTTGGCATATCTGACAGAGTTGGGGCTGTATTTTACAGAGGAGTGCCAAGGTAAAAGCTTTAGAATATTTTGTCCTGACATTTCGGGCGGGAATCTCGGCGCCAAAACGAACGGCTGGACCATGCGTGGGACCTCCCGTGCATGGTGCAAAATCCAGCGTGGAGTAGTGCGCTAGCAGGCTCCCCTCCCGTGTCATGCTCAGCAGGCCAACGGTGCGGTGCGGTGGAAACAAAAAATCGAATGAGGCAACAAAATATTTCAGGCACCTGAGCCATGCATAGGTGCTTCCAAAACAGTTAATCAGATGTATCCCAGCAAGCGTAACAACATCCGTTGTAGCTAGTTACACGCGCTCTCTACGTACTATATGCATCTATATACAGGTCTACACAGGCGTGGAGAACAAGTCTTTGCCCAAGATGAGAAACATCACGACAGGAGTGCTGCAACCCATTGCAATGACCACACACGCGAGCCAAAGGGACGTTGCGGCAACGGTGAGGTAGACAGAAGTCGTCAGGGACGCGACCATGGAGAGGCAAGCAATGACTGTGAGCCAGTGGCTCCACCCTACGACCTGGCGGGTCCTAAGACCCAGCTGCTCCCTTCTTGCCCAGATGAAGACGAAGACAACGACGATTGAGGTTAGCATTGCCAGGGTGTTGGCGATGACGAACACTTTGAATTCCATCCTGTGCGCCAGAAGAGCGGTGCCGTTCTGCTGGTCGTACCCGCCGGGCATGGTGAAGGTGGAAGAGAAGGTCACCGTGGCGATGAGAGTTGCCACGAGGGTGTAGGTCCCCATCCTTTGCTGTACGTACTGGCTGAAGTCCTTTGTTTCAGGAGGCAGCTGCTGCCCCTTGCATTTGATGGATTCTTGCATCTTTAGCTCCTTCCAGAAGTATACCTGCTGGAATGAATGATTACATACATATATCTGCAGACATGACATGCAAGTGCTAACATACAAAAGTGGGATATGCGGAAGAAAAAAATGTATTCCCTTCGTCCCAAATTAAATGACTCAACTTTGTACTAACTGATAGTATCAGTGGAGAACGTTACCGTGATGCTATCCTCAGATACTGTATGCCTCTCGGTAATTCTCCGTGCGGTTTGGCCGTCCCTGTTGAGAACGCATGGGTTCACCCTGGGGTTCTTGAGCAGCACCAGGCCAAGCGCTGCTCGATTTAACGAGGCGGCCAGATGAAGCGGCGTGTTGCCTCCGTGGTCGACTCGGTTGATAATCTCCACGCCGCGCACGTACTTGAGCAGGCACCGGAGCACGTCCACTTTGTCGCTGTCGATGGCCACATGCAACGCGTTCCTGCCGATACTATCAACCATCTCCGTCACATCGGGGCACCGCGTCAGCATCTCTTTCACTGCCTCTGTTGAGCCGTGGTCGGCGGCAACGTGGAGCGGGGACATGAGCTTCCGATTCCTCCTGTAGGCGAGATCCGACTTCCGGTTGATTAACAGCTTCACCAGGCGCGCGTTGTTCTTCTGCGCCGCGTAGTGCAGGAGGTTGTTCTCGCTCGAGTCCGTCAGCCCTATATCCAGGATCCACGTCACCTCCAGCAAAATCTCCACCACCCCTGCAGCTTGGTCGCTAGTAAATTTGTACTATGTAATTCTACAACACCGACTGACGACATGGGGGGGAGCATATCAAAGACTAGGAGAGGCATGCATGTGACGTATACTTACGGGTGTGGCCGCCGAGGATGGCCTGGTGCAGGGGGGTGCCGGAGTCGGAAGGGTCATACCTCTCGTGGACCCAGGGCTGGCTGACGATCTTGGCCACGACGTCGGCGAGGCCCTCCCGGGCGGCGATGTGCAGCGGCGACAGCTTCTCCACGTTGAGCGCGTGGCTGCGGCCTGGCTCGGCGTCCAACAGCTTGAGCGCCATGGCACTCCTGCCGTGCTTCACCGCCGCGTGCAGCGGGGTGTCGCCGGCCTTGTTGGACATTAACAGAGGGTGCGGATGCTCCGCAGGCAATGCGCCTTCGCGGCTGATAAGCAGATCCACCACGTCCAGCTGCCCCGCCCTGGATGCCAGGTGAAGCGGCGTGTCGCCATCGGCGTTCTTGCTCAAGAGCAGACTATCGTTCACGCCGAGGGCCTCCTGAGCAAAGTAGGTGTGGCCGAGCTCGGCGGCGTTGTGCAGCGCGGTGTTCCCCCGGGGGGTCTTCGAACTAAGAATGCCGGGGCGCTCCGCCACCAGCTTCCTCAGGCTTGCCACGCCCCCCTGCACCGCCGCCTTGTGCAACGATGGGTCCATCCTACCTAGCTTCTACTCTTCTTCTTCTTCTTCTCTGCAACCTCGATCGTGGAGACAGATCGAGCACCTGAGCTGATTGATCACGTGAATGAATGAAGAAGCTTTAAGAGAAGTTGTGCCGGACACCGGCTAGATTCCTTGCTTCCTACCTCAATTTGGAATTGATTCATTCACTGGAGCTAGATCCGTTGCTCCCATGCTCGTGCTACCGACTTGTTCTTTGCTGCAATTGTCACGCCAGAAGGCCAGGAATCAAGGACAACGTAAATGATTCAACCAAGCATGGTACAAACACACAGCAAAATTGGGATGGGCTTTTATTTAATATAATATAATTGTAACTACATAAAAGTGCAAATTAAGCAAACCTGTACAAATGCATGAAAAAGTTTCAATGTTTCAAAAAAGAAAGAACTCACAGAAAAGGAAAGAATAATTTGCAATGCATAGAAATGCAGTTAATGATTAAGTTTTGAGCATTCTCTCTCCCCTGATCATCAGGGAAGAACAAAAAGGAAATTCCAAACAATAATACTACAACAACTTTGACCGCGAAATTCAAGTCCGCGAATTGTGTCAGCTACAGAGATTTTACCAAACTAATCACTAGTCTCACATATACTCCCTCCGTTCTTAAATAGTATTTGTCTTTCTAGACATTCAAATGGACTACAACATACGGATGTATGTAGACATATTTTAGAATGTAGATTTACTCATTTTACTTTGTATGTAGTCACTTGTTGAAATCTCTAGAAAGACAAATATTTAGAAACGGAGGGAGTAAATACAAAATTACAGCTCACGTTTAGGCTCAAGCAACATACTACACGTGGAAAAGAGTCCCTCAAATGCCGAGCAGCGGACAGTTTGTTATATTTGTGTCGAGTATATTTGTACGCAAGGGGTTACGTGGACTAGGAGTTTGGATATTTTGATCGACCTGCGGCGCAGCCCCTCCTTTCGCTGCCGCCTCGACATGTTGGTGGGCAAAGCCGGCCAGCTCTGGCGGCGGCGGGGTCCGGGTGGGGGCTGTCTGGATCTGGCTCGGGGCGCGGCGGCTACGCCTGGCGGCGAAGCCACGGGCTGTGTGCGGCGGCGTGGAGGGGCTGCAACGGTGGGGGTGCATGGTGGACTCTGGCGGCGGTGGACCTAGGACGGTTTGGTTCTTCTGTGGCAGGGGTCTGGGCGGCTTGCGCATGGCGGTGGCCGGGCGTTGGCTCGCCGCAGGTGGTGGATAGCTCCGGCGTTTGTCTCCTGCGGCGTCTCCCTCTGGTGGTGGTGGACCTGCTGCCCTCCGGTCAGATCCGGCCTTAGCTGGATCCTGACAGCGGCAGGGGACGCGGGATGCGGTCGGCGCGGGCTGGCTGCGTGGTGGTCGGTGGGGCAGGTGATTGCAGGTGGCCGTGGCGGTGGTGCGGGTTGGTCGAGCTCATGGCGTCGCAGATCTGGCGGATGGGCTCTTGTTCGGGGCACAGGATGGTGGTGGCGATCTCCCCGCTCCTGAGAGCGAGCCGGCGGCGCGGGGCTGGGCGGGTGTCAGCCAGGATGCCAAGCGTGTCGCACGTGCGACGGCAGTGGCTCTGTCCTAGGGTCCGCGCACGGGTGGGCTAGGTTAGGTCCCGCGGTTGCACTGGGTAGGTGAGATTGGGTTGGCCCAGGTGGTGCACATGCTCCTCCCGGCTGCGGTGGTCGGTGGCGGTGCTCGGGTCTCTGCTATTTTGTCAGGCGGATCTGTGTCGGTGACCACGGTTGAGGCGTCGCGTGAGCGGGCTCGACAGTGGACGTCGGTAGTCACAGGGTTGCGTCCCTCCAGTCCACCTGGACTTGCTGGGGACACAGGTGTGGACACCCCCTACTGTGGGGGCATCGACCCAGATCCCATGACTGATGATGGGCTAGGAATGAAAGGAGACCCCTTTCTTTCCTCCTTCCGAGGTTGGTGCTCTGTGATATGCACGGATGGTGGTGGCTTGGACGTGGATGCAAGAGCGGCCGCTTTGGATGGCGGTCCGCATGGTTGGCTCTCCGATGGGCACCATGTCAGTGGTGGTAGCCCCCTCTTGGTCCTTTAGGCGGCAGGAGGGTGGTAGTGGGTGGCTCGGAAGCTCTCCCAGTCCGTGGCAGTGGCGTCGCTTGATTCGGACCTTGGGAGCTGAGCTCGTTACGCCTGTCCTGAAGACCTTGTGGTGGCATGAAGGAGCTGTCGAGCAAAAGCTCTGCGCTTTGTCTCCGATGATGATGACACTTGTGACCACCGCTATCTTCCTGAAGACGTCATCGTGGTGTTCCTCTTCGTGCCAGGGTTTCGGGTGAAGACCCTTTTTCTTTTGGACTCGCCGGCGATGACGCTTTGCGCCGATTTCCCTCCCGGGGGGCGTTGTCATGGAGCTTGGGTGTTTAGGCCAGTATTGGCATTGTACTCACCTCTCCCAGTGCTTTCTTTTCGTAGCGTAGTTGTGCGTGATCCCGTTATCTTGGGATCGGCATTGTATGAGGGTTACCTCACTATCTTGGACCATTCGGCCGCGTACTTGGTTTGGTGGTTGCTTTATATATAAAGTGGGGCGAAAGCCTGCTTTGAGGACTTGGAATTGTAATTGGTTTGGATAGGTACAAGTTGTGTAGGAGTCAGACACATTGTATCCTAGGCATCTTATATATTGAGGAGCACCACACGTTGTAACCCATCACGACTTGATAGCAGCAACAACGCGAGGGAGTCGACGGCTTGTGTCGGCGCCCAGGCGGCCGGTATTGTGGTATCTTGGGGAGGAGAGCCCATAGTCATTGCCCCACGATGTAACAAATATCGTGCCTCGGTGTGTCGTCTATGATCTTGCGTTAGTGATTTATTCTAACAAGTGGTATCTTGAGCAAGGTTGCCCGAAGGCTACGCGGAATATCATCTTGAGGTACGAGGATCATGACGGGTGCCATAGAGGAATTAGGATGTAATTAGGATGGCCTATCCAACACGAAGATTCTTGCCATCGAGGAATTTCTTCCACCCAACCGAGTTTAAGTGTGTGCGACCATCCGTGTCCACGCGGTAAGTACAGGTTGTGACGGAGCCCCTTGCAGTAAGGCATAGTCCAGCTGAGCCTTCTTCATCAGGCTCGATAACATAACTCATAGATATGCTCTTTGCCAATTTTTGAATAAAAAAACATATCAATTAATAAATAGCCTCGCAAATAAGTACATATGGATTATCTACACTATTAATAGTTCCTTAGATTCTACACTAATAAGCATGTGAACGAACTCTACACTAAAACATATCATCAACTAGATTCCACACAACATACCATATCATTGGACTGTACACTAAGTATTTCATCGAATAATTTGCATTTGTAAGTATAACATACCATATCATGTCGATCAACCATGGTATTTGTCAGGCGGGTCACGAATGGCACCCCGACAAAGTCAGCACGTGGCGGAATTATGTCCCACAGGTTGGACACCTCCTCCTCGCTCAGCCTTGTTCTTTGAGCTACGATGGCTTCATGAAGTGGGTCCTCATCATCTTCATCGAGTGGGTCCTCATTATCTTCATCATCTTCATCATCTTCGTCATCTTCATCATCTTTCACCAGGTTGAGATAAATGACAGCCAGCTTGGCTGAGCGAGGCGACGAAACGGGCCCATCCATCTCCTCCAATCTGCGACATATTGCATCCTTTCTCGACCTCCATAGTGTACGGCCCCCTAGGAGCCTCAAATGTCACAGTGTCTCCTGTCAGCTTGTTGAATTTCAACCTCACATTGCATGGGACGATCTGTGTAAAATAAGCAAAATGACACAATGCAGTAATGCCAACACTAAAAAAAATAGTTATTACATTTCATCTAATTTCTTACCGCCGCATGACGAAAACTTGGCTGGAAGTAGATGCCGAACAGCTTGCCAGTTGCAAGGCTGCTGGCGCACCTTGACTTGCACAGTCGACATAGTGGTGGTGGTGGTGGCGCCATTTTTCCTAAAGCAATATGAGCAAAGGATTAACGATCCACTTCACAGGAAAGAAAAACAGTAGCATGTGATATTTTTGGTTCTTCCGCGAGAAACAATTTGATGGACAATTATAATCCTAAGATCTAGTAACATATTAGATGACAAGGTACCACCTACATTTTGCCAAAAATTAACTTATTACAAAAAAACAAAAGCATCTCTACCTATCCATGTACAGAAAAAATAATAACAAAACGGTGCATACTAAATCAACTAAATGAACTAGCGTACTAAATCAACTAAATCAAAATGTTCTAAATCAACTAAATCAACTAGCCTACTAAATCAACTCAATCAAAATGTTTTAAATCATATCAACTAAATCAAAATGTTGCATATGAACTAGCCTACTAAATCAAAATGTAGCAGGGAGGAGGGAGAAGGAGGGCGACTCGAGGAGGGAGAAGAGAGTAGGACAGAGGAGGAAGGCGGAGCGAGGAGGGGCCGGCCGGCGGCCAGTGGAGGGAGGACGGAGGAGGAAGGCGGAGCGAGGAGGGGCCGGCTAGCGGCGAGTGGGGGAAGACGGAGGAGGAGGCCGGTACTGTGACACACGGATAGTTAAGCTACAGTAACCCTCTGCTAATTATGCCACGTCACCTCGGTAACTGTAGATGAACTCGCGTTGATTCGAAACCGATTCTAATTCAATTTCAAAACCAAGGCAAACAACAAAAGTTTTCAAATATCAAAACAAAAATGTTCGGGACGTGACATATTTAAGTTTACTAAGTTAGGTGCAACCTATGTATTTTCCAAAACTAAAATGTTTAGGAAATGTGAGAAAATAGAAAAGAAATAAAGAAAAAGGGAAAAGAATAAAAATAGAAAAACAAAACTAACAAAAAAACACACAACCCCCTGGCCAAATGGGCCAAAAGGCCCAGCTGGCAAGCCCACTGGCCTGACTGGCCCGTCCCCACTCCCTTATCCCCTGGTGCCGAAACCCTAACCCCCCACCCGATCCCCACTCTCTCC